TGTACAGGATGTATGGATGGCCAAGAGGTCATGACCCAATGGCCAGTTCACTGTCCAAAAGGTCATCCATTGATGAATGTGGCCAAGCCAGCACAGACATCACAGAATCAGAGTATACAAGAGGCCTCTTTGACCCGTCATGTCTATATTGCCAAGGCCGCACTAAATTGTGATTAATTTAATAATCACATGGATATGAATGACTTGGATATTGGAATAGAGTGTAAAATTTCAAAATCTTCCAATGATACCAAACTTGGATGAATGATAAAAAGTAAAGATGGTACAGATCAACTGTGACAGGGCATGGATAGGCTAGCAGAATGGCCAGGCAAGTGGCAGATGAGTTTAATGGAGAGAATTATGACATTTAAAAGGCATCTGGATGGGTATATGAATAGGAAGGATTTAGACAGATATGGGCCAAAGGGTCAGTTTCTGTGCTGTACATCTCTGACACCACGATGTATTTTGTGCCCAAGGGATAGGGTGACATATTACAGGCTGAATGGCACAATTCTAATGAGTTTGCAAGAACAGAGGGACCTGGGGATTTAAGTACATAGATATGAAGATGCAGGAAGGAGAGAAAGATTAAAAAGCAGTTGGGATCTTGACCACCAGAAAGGGAGATCCTGCGTACAAAAGTAGAGAAGCTGAACCTTTCTAAAGCTCTGGTCAGGCCACATGAAGATTACAGTATCTAGTTCAAGTCCCCATACTTCAGGAAGAATGTGAAAGTCTCAGAGAGGGTGCAGAGCAGATTTAGCAGAATGATTCAAAGGATGAGGAGTTTTAAATACAGGTTAGGTTAAAAGAAGTTGGGGTGGTTCTCCTTGATGGGGATATTTGACAGATGCATTCAAGATGATGACAGAGTTAAATAAGGAGGACCTGGAAGATTATTCTGATTAGCTGATTGAACACGGATTTGGGGATACAGATTTAAGGCTTCAGACAAGAGATGCAGTGAGACTACAGATGAATTGTCTTTAATAACACCAGGCCTACAATGGTGATGGGATTGGGGATGATGAATGATTCCAAAAGGAAATTGAACAGACACTCGACATAAATAAACCTGCAGGACAACAGGGATACAGCAGGGGAATAGGAGTGACTGGATTGCTCTACAAAGAGCCAGCACGGACTCAAAGGGCTGAATGGCTTTCTACTGAGTAATGGCTACTCAGTGACAACATGAATGACAACTCAATGGCTACATTTTATCCGAGTTCTGTGACTTACAACCAAATTGATCAATAAATGTAATACAAAGAACTGCGGATGCTGCAGGGGAACATATATACCTTTCCATAGCTACTATCAAAAGAAGGGTCACTGGACACAAAACTCTGCTTTCTCTGTAAAGATGCTGCCAGACCTGCTGAGTTTCTCCAGCAAATTCTGTGACTGACAAGTGTGTTTGATTACTAACTTAATTCAGGATACAGACAGTGGGGGAAGATTGTGGGGTACTGGGATTAGTTTAGGATTGATGCAGGACTATGAAGATAGTAAGGCAGCATGGATCAACGGATAGTGGTGGATTGTTCTAGCTTGATTCAAGTTATGAAAAACAAGAGGATAGTGGGATTAGTTTGGGAAGGATAAGGGGTATGGGAAAAGATCAGGGAAGTGGAGATGGTTTGGATTGCTCAAAAACTGCACCGATTTTCTGTTTATCAGGACTTTCCAAGGTATTTTGCAGTCAAAAAACTTTTGAGATTATAATGTAGGAACCCAATAGCAAGGCAAGATCTCACAAACTGCAACATATTACTGACTAGATATCTGATTGTGATTGGATATTGATGAGGAGAGAAATGTGGCCAGGTACAAGTGGGGAGAGCTCTGTTACTCTTCTACAAAGTAAGGCCAATGAATATTTTCATGCCCACTCAAGAGAGTTGACTGTTCCTTGTATTTGTTTTGACAATTCAGCACGACCGCAGTAACGCACTTGGCCTGTCCAACTAGAATGTGCCTTACGCTGAGACTTGTGCCCACAAACTTAGCACTCAGAGACGAGAGTGTTACTCATGGAATCCCAGGTGACAAGATTCTTAGCAAAAAGTTGTATATTAGTAATACATTACAATAATAAATCAAATCAAATATTAAGCAACATAAAGTCTTTTCATTCATTCATTCATGGGACGTGGGCATCTTCAATTAGGTCAACATTGATTGTCCATTTTAATTGCACTTGAAGAGAAGATGGGGGTGAGTCACCTGCTTGTTCTGGAGTTAAACAAATTACACAGGCACAAGAGATAGTAGGAACGGTAGATGCTGGAAAATCTGAGATAACAAGGTGTAGAGAGCTGGATGAACACAGCAGGTCAAGCAGCATCATAGGAGCAGGAAGGCTGCCGTTTCGGGCCTAGACCCTTCATCAGAAAGTCTAGGCCTGAAACGTCAGCCTTTCTGCTCCTATGATGCTGCTTGGCCTGTTGTGTTCATCCAGCTCTACACCTTGTTAACACAGACACAAGGACAGGTCTGGCCTGAGTGGACTGGGCATGAAGACTAAAAGAAAGGACAGTTGATGAGCAGTGTCAGATGTTTAAGGAAATATTCAATTGGTCCCAACTAAAATATATTCCAGAAAGGTAGATAGATTCTAAGAGGGAGAGAAAACATACATGCTTAAGCAAGGAAGTTAAAGATGATATAAAGATAAAAACTACTATATCCATCACAATATTAACAAATAAAGCAGAGGTGATGGAAAGGTTGGGGGTGGGGGTGGGGCGAGACTTAAAACAAACATTACCACTAGGGAAAAACTACTAAGCAAATTATTGGGATTGAAGGCAGACAAGTCCCCAGGGCCTGATGGCCTATATCTTAGGGTCATCAAGGAAGTGGCAGCAGAGATAGTGGATCCATTGATTATAATATTCCAAAATTCACTGGATGTGGGAAAGGCTCCAGTGGATTAGAAAAATGCTATTACAATGTCCTTATTCAAAAAGGGAGGCAAGTACAAAGTAGCAAACTATAGATGCATTATTTTAATGTCTGTTTTTGGGAAAGTGTCAGAACCCATTATTGAGGAAGTTATAACAGGATATTTGGAAAGTCAAAACACAATCGATCAAAGTCAGCATATTTTTAGGAAGGACCCTTCTGAGGAAGGGTCACCGGACCCGAAACGTTAACTCTGTTTTCTCCTCCACAGATGCTGCCAGACTTGCTGAGCTTTTCCAGCAACTTTGTTTTTGTTCCTTATTTTTAGGAAGGGTAAATCATGTTTGACTAATTAGCTAGAGTTATTTGAAGATGTAACAAACAAAGTGGGGATCCTACAGATGTAATACATCTGGACTTCTAGAAGGCATTTGATAAGGTGCTGCACAACAGGTTAATGCACAAGGTAAGATTACATGGAGTTAAGGGTAATTTATTTGCTTGGATTGAGAATTAGCTAACAGAAGGCAGAAAGTCAGGATAAATGGTTCTTTTCTGGTTGGCAGGATATAAGTACCTGGGTGCCACAGGGATTGGTCCTCGTCCCCAGACATTTAAGTATTAATGACCTGGGTGCAGGAATAGAAAGTACTATAGCTAAATTTGTAGATAACACTAAAACAGGTGGGACAGAAAATTGCAAATAGGAAATAATGCATTTAAAAATGAATATGGATAGATTAGGTGAATGAGCCAAAATCTGGCAGATGGGAGTTTAATGTAGATAGGTGTGATGTTATCCATTTTGGTAAGAGGAATAGAAAGGCAATTTAATATCTAATAGGAAAGAAATTTCTGAGTGCTTTGGTACAGAGGGATCTGGGTGTCCTCATGTATGAGTCGAAGAAAACTAGTGTACGAGTACATCAGCTAATAGAGAGGACAATTAAAGTTTTAACATTATTGCTAAAGGAATAGAGTATATAAGTAGGGAAGTGTTACTGCAACTGAACAAGGCATTAATGAGACTGCATTTGGAGCACTGTGTACAGTTTTGGTTCCATGCTTGAGGAGGGATGTAGTTGCATTGGAAGCAGTTTAGAGGAGGTTCACTAGATTGATTCCAAAGATGACAGATTTGTCTTATGAAGAGAGATTGAACAGTTTAGGCCTATACTGTCGAGAGTTTAGAAGAATTAGAGGAAATCCAATTAAAGTATATAAGATACTACAGGGGACTGGCAAAGTAAACGCGGAGGATGTTTCCTAGATTTGGACAATCTAGAATGAGAATTGCTATCTGTAGGTAGCAGATTTAAAACAGAGATGAGGAGAAATTACTGCTCTCAAAAAGGGTCATGAATCTGTGAAATTCACTATCCCAGAGTGTGGTGGTTGCTTGGACGCTGAGTAAATTTCAGGAGAAGATAGACAGATTCTTAATGACTAATGAGTTGAAGTGTTATGAAGAGAGGCCAGGAAAGTGAAGTTAAGGCTGAGATGGGATCAGCCATGATAGTATAAAATGGTGGAGCAGGCTGGAGCAGCTGAATTGCCTATTACTGCTCTTCGTTCTTACCTCTTATGTTATGAATACAAGTAGCTTGTTTGGCCATTTCAGAGGACAGTTAAGTATCAACCACACCACTGTGGGAGTGGAATCACATGGGACCAGACCAGGTAAAGATGGCAGATTTCCTTTCCTAAAGGCATTAATGAACCAGATGGGGTTTTTTGACAATTGATGATAATTTCACAATCACCTTTATTGTGACTAGCTCTATCTTTCATCAACTAAATTTTAATTCCACTGGCTGCCCATATCTCCAGATCACTTGTATTATTAGTGCAGTAACTTAACCACAATGTTACCATAGCATGGGGCCCTTTTATCTAAAATCAGAGAGGTTTTGGGGTGAGGAGATGGCAGCAAGGTTAACAGCATTTCCGACTTTTCCATCAGCATTCTTTTTAAATTATTTTGAATGTCCTATTTGCCTTTGTAGCTTTAAAAAAAGTTAATTCAGAAATCATTGTGAAGTCAGACTGCAACCAGAGCCAAAAATAAACAAGGCAACACTTAATTACTAATGCCAAATGGTTTATTCAATGCTGGAAGTGTTCACTCCCTTACCCAGAACAACATTAGGTAGCAGAAAGTACACGCTTACAAGTTGGATTCTGAGCACATTAGTGATGGAGTTGCAGATTTACAATGTAATAGCTCACAATATACCACACTGTTTCTTCACTGGAACTGAGACTCGTAACAGAAACATACAATCTGCTGACTGTATATTTGCTGACAGCTAGGCTGAGATTTTCTACTAGAATGTTGCTGACCAGTTTTTCCATTCGTCTGACCCTTCACAGCTTGTGGCAGAGAAGCCCTGATCTGAACAACCATACTTCTTTCAAACCTATCACTATGTTAGCAGAGATATCTCCATTTAACAATAAAGATGATAATTGCAAACTAATGAGTTAATAAATGATGTGATGTAAAATCTGGTGATGAGAAGGCTGTGGTGTCAGATTTGATGACATGTATACATACAGCTTTCACCAAGCTGATGCAACTTCCCCAATCCCCTTAAATGAACCATCAAGCAGTTCACTTCCAGTGTGGGTTATTATACACATAACCTTTCAGTTACACCAAACTTGTTATTAATTAAATCAACATATTCAAATACATTTTAATATAATTGCTGCAATCCTGAAGTCAGGGAAGCTATAGACTATTTCAGTAATAGAAATTAAAGGCATTTAGAATTTTGACAAGTGTGAAATTTGACAGGATTGCAAGAACAGGATCTGTAGAAAGTGAGCAGAGAAGCTCAGTACCTCCCTTTGTTTCGATAATTCATGCACTCTAATGTGTATAATATACTCAGCAACACTGTCTTAAAATACTAGCAACTGATACAGGGCTATTTGCAATGAAACAACTATGGCGCAGAACAAAAAGATTGCAAATCAGATCATGTTTAGTCGATGAGCTGTTTCTTCACCGCTCATGGAGGAAGGTAAAACTCAATATTCTTGTGTAAAAGGAGTCAAAGGAATGCAGCCCCAAACTCTCCCCGCTTACTGAAATAATACTGAACTACACCAGCGTGGCCCCTAAGCAAGACTTTATTGAAGGACATAACTGCTAGAGTCCAGTCATTCAGCGCTACCCTCAGGTCACACAGACCTTCTGCTTCATTGCCACATATCTTTTTCATCAGCGTTCTCATGGAACTTGTGCAGATGGTCAGAATACCTGCAGAAAGGAAATAGAACAAATCGCTGGCACTGAGAATATTCACAACACCACACAGAATGTTTAACATTGACTGAAGCTGCAAAGGGCAAACATGCAGTAACTCATTAATATTACTTTTAGATACTAGCCAATGATGAATACTTCAACATTTATATAAAATATAAATAAATATCTAAAACATATAAATGCACATTTATTTTATCAATAATAACATGCAAACCCACTAATTTTTTTTATGGGTGAGAATAGCCAATATTGTTAACATGAAACACACACACACACACCACCACCACCCCCAACCAACACAGACACACACACACAGACACACACAGACACACACACACACACACACACACACGCACACACACACACACACACACACACACACACACACACACACACACACACACACACACAGAATTAAAATAAATCCCATTGCTGAACTGCATGTAAAGGAAGACTTTCATTTCCACAGCACCTTTCATAACACCTTAGGATAACTCAATATGCTTTGCAGCCAATTAAATGTGTTAAGTCAGGTCACTATTTCAACATAAGGCAATGCGGTTGGTAATTTGTGCACAACAAGCTCCCAGAAACAGCACTGATATAATGCCTAGATAGTCTGTGCTTTTTGTTGGTGCTGATTGAGGGAGGCCAGCTGGCATCTCTAACAAAAAAGTGCAGGGTCAGACTGGAACAACAAGGAGACTTAAGAAACGTGGGAACCAGTGCTCTCCAGGAGGAGATTACTGAGTGGTGGGGAGCAGCAGAGAAATCCACGGTGGCACGGTGGTTAGCACTGCAGCCTCACAGTGGCAGGGACCCGGGTTCGATTCCAGCCTCGGGCGACTGTCTGTGCGAAGTTTGCACGTTCTCCCCGTGTCTGCGTGGGTTTCCTCCGGGTGCTCCGGTTTCCTCCCACAGTCCAAAGATGTGCAGGCTAGGTGGATTGACCATGCTAAATTGCCCATAGTGTTCAGGGGTATGTGGGCTTTGGGGGATGGGTCTGGGTGGGATGCTCCAAGGGTCAGTGTGGACTTGTTGGGCCGAAGGGCCTGTTTCCACACTGTAGGGATTCTATGATTCTGTAGGGATTCTATGATTCTATAAATCCTCAGATAGCACAGTCACAAAGCAACAGTCAAAAGACCAAGGTCCATCCAGTTTGACTTTCACCATTCCGATACCACGAAAATGAAACTGTTGTTGAGAATTAATAATCAATCTCTACCAATTAGCCTGCAACAGTAAGAAGGAATATCCCAGCACTGGCTGGCTTGGGAAGGTGGGGTGTGTGGGATTTGCAATGTTTTTGCCAGTGTCTCCCAAATCCAATTCATTGTGCAGTCTGCTCTCTATGTGAGTGCCGCAATGGGTGCTGCATTTGAGGGAGTTCGTTTGGCTCAGAACATCAGGGTTTAACTTTTTGAGTTGGTTGGGCTGCCTTAAGCTGCAGTTGGAGAAGGAAGGAAGTGACTGGATGTCATTGGAGAAAGGGAAATTTAGTCTGTTTGGTGCAAAGCGAGAAACCATCAAAATGTAGATAAAATAACCTTTGCATGGAATTGGTAATGATACGGAAGCTCCCTTTCTTAATTGGTGAATTCTTGTTGCTATATATATGTGTCCTTTAAGAATCAGGCAGTGCATAATATGAGGTATTATAAAGATTAGACTATTACAGAGACATTTATGATGATTGAATTTATTGGAAAGAAGTCAAAATCAGAGATGAAGATTTTGTGTAATTAAAAGATCACAAATTAGAAGCAAAAAACAGATGAACAAATTGTTCAATACAGTCAAAAATCACAGGAGGCTTCACTGGCAAGGAAAGAAAAATAAACCAATATTAATGGTCATGATGCACAGATGGACACAAATTATGCCATCGCAGAGATGCTAGCATTGAATATTGATCTGAAAAGATATTTTCAGATTGATATCAAGATGTATTGCAATGAAACCAGACTCTAAAGCAACGGGACTGTAACTGGCACACAGATAATGAATCAGAAGAGTGAAGGTACACAATAAACGGAGCACAGGAAAAGATCCAGGAATTATAGAGATTGCGTGACAGAAAACTGACAGAGAAATCAAGAACTTGTATCTGTAAGAGACTGCTCAGTTTTTGTGCAAAGTGCTGCACGCAGTTGCGGTCGCCTAATTAAAACAAAATCAAACTCAGGATGTGGACATTACTGGCCAATTATTGGCCATATCAAGGTGTACCTGACAGGTGGTGGTGAACATGCCTTTGAACCCCAGGGGTGGTGTAGTGAAGGTCACGTAATGTTGTTAAGTGAGGTTTCTAGGATTTTGATCCAGAATTATGGGTCTACTTCATAGGATCATACAGTACAGAACAGGCCCTTTGGCCCAACAAGTCTGTAGTTAGCATTCAGGGTGAGCAGAAAAGGTTTCATTCAAAATAGCTGGAAATTCCACCATAAGGTTAGGTTGAGGAAGACAGGGCTCTTTTTAACAAAATTTGAGGTATCCAATTAACATTCTAAAGATGACCCTGGAAAATTATTTACTAAATGCAAACCTTTAAATCTTGAACAATTATTGAGAGTGAGGAATAAGTGAGAGAGCTGGAAGATAATTTTCCCCAAAGGACAAGAGAATTGAATTATTACTAGAATATGCAAATATAGACTAAAACTGAGGTAAAAGGACAATTCGGTATATTTCAATAGAGACTGGGATTGGGGAATATGGAGATAAGGGAGGGAAGTCATGTTGATCTATGAAAAAAGCTTTTGAGCTCAGTGATACTTCCTGTTCTTTAAAGTTCTTAGGTTCTCTCATTAGATTTCAGAGTGACTTCATGGGTTCTTCTTTGTTATTTCTTTCAACTGCTGTCTCTTAAAACAACTTACTTTTAAAATAAAAACACTGTTTATTGAAATTAATCCCATGTTTTCATAAAGTTATCCTGTAGAAAAAAATCTGCAGAGGAAGTTCAAGAAAGAAACATCTTGGAAGAGTCTGAAGTTGAACTGAAATACCCAGTGGTGAAGAATGGAGAAATAAAGTGAAATAGTTCATATGATGAACTGATATGAATAAACTAGACACACCCAAGTATTATCATACTTACTTCTTTGCACAATAGGCAACACAGTCTCTGCCCACACTTTCACTCCACGCCACCTTATACAGCACCTGGAAAATACAGGTAATTAGTAAAGTATGTCCTTTAATGCACATACAGCAAAGCCCAAACTTCTGAGCCCATTAGACTCTGCGCGCTGTTGTAAACTCTACTAACTGGATTGATAATGATATACTTGGTGCAAATGATAGGCTTTGGACCATTTTCTCCTCCAGACCTACTGAGCAACCTGACCTTGAAAAATCATAACAAAACAAATTACTTCCACATTTGATGTGTGGTTAGATGTTAAATTTGCTGACATTAATAAATTCTGAAGCGTGATTAACCAGCACAATCTGTATCCAGAGGATCCATGATGAGGAGCTGCAGCATATAATTGATACAAGTAAGATATCTGAACAAATCACTAATGCTCAGGCAGTGAGAACTGGTTTGGAACAAAATCATAAATCACAGCTGGTCACTGAGACTTTTGCATATTAAATGTTATACCACAGCTTGGGGAAATTTGCTAACAAGTTTCCTCCACCTTTGGCAACCTTTCCACACCATGTGCCTGTGGCATCAGGATATTGATCTTGCTGGATTTTATGGTTTGCTCATGGGATGTGGGACATTCCTGGCTAGGCCAACATTCATTGCTTGTCACGAACTGCCCCTTGAACTGAATGGCTTGATTAGGCCATTTCAGACGGCAGTTAGAGTGAACTACATTGCTGTGGGTCTGGAGTCACGTGTAGGCCAGACCAGTGAAAGGTAGCAGATTTTCTTCCCTAAAGGACAGTGGCAGTATGTCACATATCAGTCAGTGTGTCACACAGCTATGTGGATTGAGAAACATTGACAAAATTGTTACAGAAAATGATGTGGTCATTAACTAGATAGACTGATGTAAAGCTGCGAAGTGTACAAATTTTCAACACAAAAGACACAAACACATACAATAGTCAGGATATTTGCTCTCCGCCATGAACTCAGTGGGACTGAGTTAATAAGCATTATGTCATCAATGAAAGTTTGGAGGTTTAAATAAAGAACAGGGGTCATTACTCTATAAATTATTATTGAATGGGCTGCAGAGCAGCAGCTGAATCTGGAATAACTATAGAGCTATGAAGACTGCAGATGATTGTAACTCTACTGTCCCACACTGTATTCAACTTCAGTGAACTTAGCACCAAGATATTTTGTTTTATAGCAGTCTGAACCAGTGTGTTCTGTTCTGTCACTCTGGTTTCTAATGTGTCCTGCTCTGTTGTACCAGCAACGACTATGCTGTAACTCCCTGCTCTATTGCATTGGTATATCTGATTGACTGTAGCACCAGTACAAACACCAGCACAAACACCAGCACTGTGAAGTTCAATAAAACCACTTACAAGAAAGACCAGGCAGTGCAGCAGCACGGTGTAGAAAAAAGCAATACTGCGAGCCAACTTATTTGACAAGACGACACGACCCTGCAATACAAAAAAGGCTTTAAAGAGTGTTCAAAATAAAGAGGTCCAACCATTTTAACAGCTAAAGTGAACTGCACTCACCATACTCAGAGTGGCTTTATCCCAGGGGCTGAGACTCAGATATCGGCGCTGACGCTCCTAGATACAGCATCAGAAAAGAACGTAAGAAACCAGATGGTCACCAAACACTTCACATCTTTTATTAAGAAGTCATTTTCAGTTGAGATTGAATTATTAGGAAACAATTGACATATTTCTATTCCACACTTTTTAGGTAGTTTGTGGTGAAGGGAGGTGATGTGAACTTTGAAGATTTACATGCACCTTTTTTGAAACACGACCAGGATAATTTTTCAGCAGTGAGTTTCCAGCACCTGTATTGCTTGGAAAAAATATTTCAATAGTACTGAAGTATTGAAAAAATACACCAACTCGCTCAGGGCCACAGCAGGTGTAGCTAGCACCAGCTTCAATCCAATTCAGTTTCATTACCCGCTCCACTATAACTGGTGTCCTTTTATAAAACACTTACCTGGCTTCAGGCATTGTGTCTACTTTATGAGTGTTAGAGAGGGTGAAGAAGAACTTTACTAAACTGGTACCTGGGATGGGATTTCAGCTGTGGGGAGAGCTTGGAGAAGCTGGTGTTAAGGGGAGATTTGATACGTGTACAAAATCGTGAATGGTTTTGATGGAACAATAATGAGGACTTGCTTCCACTGGTGGCAGAGGACACATATTTGAAGGCACTGGCAAACGAATATGAGGTTTGCTTTCACAATTTTTAAAAATACACTCACAGGACTTGGGCATCACTGGCTGGACCAGCATTCATTGCCCAATCCTAGTTGCCCTGGAGAAGGTGTTGGTGAGCTGCCTTCTTGAACTGCTGCAGTCCATGTGCTGTAGATACACCCATAATGCTGTCAGGGAGGGAATTCCAGGATTTTGACCCAGAGACAGTGAAGGAATGGCAATATATTTCCAAGTCAGGATGGTGAATGGCTTGGAGGGGAACTTGAAGTTGGTGGCGTTTCCATGTATCTGCTACCCTTCTAGACAGAAGTGGTTGTAGGTTTGGAAGGTGATGACTAAGGAGCCTTGGTAAAATTCTGAGATGCAATTCTGAGGTGCATCTTGCAAATGGCACACACTACTGCTACTGTGTTTCGGTGGCAAAGGGAGTGAATATCTGTGGATCTGGTGTTAATCGTCCTGGATGGTGCCAAGCTTCTTGAGTACCACTGGAGCTGGATTTATCCAGGCAAGTGAGGAATATGCCTCCATATCCTGACCTGTGCCTTGTAGACAATGGACAGGCTTTGGGAAGTCAGAGTTGAGTCACTGTTTGCAAAATTCCTGGCCTCTGACCTGTGCTTGTGTCCATTGTATTTATATGGCTAGTTCAGTTTCTAGTCAGTCATAATGCTCAGGATGGGGTGGGGGGGTGGAATTCCGTGATGGTGAATTGGGTCTGGAAGAGCCATCCTGAGCTACCTCACCCAACAGGAATCCCTTAGCAGGCTAAAATCAGTTACATTTGGGCCCACTGGTTTGTTCTAGATGATGCCAGCAAGCACATGGTAAAAGCTCAGATATACATTTCAATGAGACCCTTGCTGCTTGGAGTTCAGGTTTAACACTCCTCCCAAAACCCTGGAATTAAATACTGACAAAAGTGAGGGGTTACAATTGGCCCTTCATGAAATAGGGCAAGCAGATTGTAAACCATGGGGTGGCTGTAGAAATCATGTTTAGTTTTCACAGGAATCAGTTGTTTTCCTTTATAACTGTAAAAAGTAATGGAACTGACAATGAGCTCCTGCACGTCCCATGGTAAAGCAATGGGTCTATCCTGTTGGAAAGACCTACCTTTCTGCTGAAAGAGGCAAAGGGATCCAGGCGCTCTTCATACTGAGAGGAGTAACGCAGCTCAGTGTCATCACTGCTTGCTCCCTGCAAAACCAATCATCAACATCAGGAAACAGCGCATCTGTTGATCTGCATTCCTGCAGCTACACTATTAATGATCCAGAGAGGCTAAGTGTCTTGCTCATTGTATGGTATTTCATTGGTTGTAAAGCATTTTCGATGGGCTGAGACTGTGAAAGGAGCAATATAAATGCTGGCTCTTTCTTCTTACGCCTATCAATCATCAATCATTTTGCCATTATGATCTTTAACCATTTTGACCTCTGTCTAGCAGTTACAAAATCTATCACATTAACTGACCCATGGTTGGATGATGACACTTGCTGCCCAATACAACAAATATAAAAATGGATGAATTACCTGTCTTACTGTTTTAGAAACTGCTTCAATTTTGCTTTTAATGCATTGCCATATTCTTCCCTCCAACTCCCCATACTGAATCTGTTTGCAAAGGCTGTAAATTGCCACCTCTACTGGGTACATGACACCAATCTGTGCAACCACATACCAGCAGCTGTATTATTGTTTATTGACCAATAACATATAATCTTTAACAATTAATACTGAATGTTACGATGTAACTTTATTTCTGTTTTGTTTTGCTAGCACCTATGAGCACATTAATTTTTCTAGTGTTAAAATGGGGTGGCATTGGAAGCATTTCGGGGAGGACAGTGTTAATCAATTTATCTTTAACTTGCTACTTTGAAACTACTGTGTACTTTCAGTCCTGGTAAGGTAGTGAAAACAAGCTCCACGCTTTACAGACACATACAGTTAGTGAACCAGGTAGCTATTTCAAAAGGATTTCTCCACCACCCATGCTTGGCCCAGTTGCAGTTTGTCATCCTGAAAACAGTGCCTTTACCCCTAATATCTTCTGTTAGTTAGCCAATCCTCTCTCCATGCTAATGTCGTGCACTCGGCTCCACGGTCTCTTACCTTATTAAGTGGCCTTGGGTGCAGTACCTTGTTGAATACCTTATGGAAATCTACTGGTTCCCCATTACCTCTCCTGTTTGTTGCCTCTCCAAGGAATTCCAGTAAATTTGTCAGGCATGATTGTGCCCAATTGTGCCCAGCCCCTGCAGTTTCCTTCTCCATCCTATGCATCCTAAATCTTGCCTCATCGCCTCATAATTGCCTTTCCCCCAGCTATAACTCTTGCCCTGCGGTATATACCGATCCCTTTCCGTCACTAAAGTAAACGTAACCGAATTGTGGTCACTATCACCAAAGTGCTCACCTACCTCCAAATCTAACACCTGGCCTGGTTCATTACCCAGTACCAAATCCACTGTGGCCTCGCCTCTTGTTGGCCTATCTACATACTGTGCCAGGAAACCCTCCTGCACACATTGGACAAAAACTGACCCATCTGAAGTACTCAAACTATAGCGTTTCCAGTCAATATTTGGAAAGTTAAAGTCCCCCATAACAACTACCCTGTCACTTTCGCTCCTATCCAGAAACATCTTTGCAATCTTTTCCTCTACATCTCTGGAACTTTTCGGAGGCCTATAGAAAACTCCCAACAGGGTGACCTCTCCTTTCCTGGTTCTAACCTCAGCCCATACTACCTCAGTAGACGACGTGTCATCAAATGTCCTTTCTGCCACTGTAATACTGTCCTTGACTAACAATGCCACACCTCCCCCTCTTTTACCACCTTCCCTGATCTTACTGAAACATCTAAACCCCGGAACCTGCAACAACCATTCCTGTCCCTGCTCTATCCATGTCTCCGAAATGGCCACAACATCGAAGTCCCAGGTACCAACCCATGCTGCAAGTTCACCCACCTTATTCCGGATGCTCCTGGCATTGAAGTAGACACACTTCAAACCACCTTCCTGCCTTGAGAAGTATATACCTGTCAGGCAGGGAGGAAGTGGTCGAGCGAGGGAACCGTGGTTTACCAAAGAAGTTGAATCTCTTGTCAAGAGGAAGAAGGAGGCTTATGTAGAGATGAGGCGTGAAGGCTCAGTTAGGGCGCTTGAGAGTTACAAGTTAGCTAGGAAGGACCTAAAAGGGAGAGCTAAGAAGAGCCAGGAGGGGACATGAGAAGTCTTTAGCAGGTAGGATCAAGGAAAACCCTAAAGCTTTGTATAGGTATGTCAGGAATAAAAGAATGACTAGAGTAAGATTGGGGCCGGTCAAGGATAGTAGTGGGAAGTTGTGCGTGGAGTCCGAAGAGATAGGAGAGGTGCTAAATGAATATTTTTCGTCAATATTCACACAGGAAAAAGACAATGTAGTCGAGGAGAATACTGAGATACAGTCTATTAGACTAGACGGGATTGAGGTTCATAAGGAGGAGGTGTTAGCAATTCTGGAAGGTGTGAAAATAGATAAGTCCCCTGGGCCGGATGGGATTTATCCTAGGATTCTCTGGGAAGCTAGAGAGGAGATTGCAGAGCCTTTGGCTTTGATCTTTATGTCGTCATTGTCTTCAGGAATAGTGCCAGAAGACTGGAGACTAGCAAATGTTGTCCCCTTGTTCAAGAAGGGGAGTAGAGACAACCCTGGTAATTATAGACCAGTGAGCCTTACTTCGGTTGTGGGTAAAGTGTTGGAAAGGATTATAAGAGATAGGATTTATAATCATCTAGAAAGGAATAATTTGATTAGGGACAGTCAACACGGTTTTGTGAAGGGTAGGTCGTGCCTCACAAACCTTATTGAGTTCTTTGAGAAGGTGGCCAAACAGGTGGATGAGGGTAAAGCGGTTGATGTGGTGTATATGGATTTCAGTAAAGCGTTTGATAAGGTTCCCCATGGTAGGCTATTGCAGAAAATACGGAGGCATGGGATTGAGGGTGATTTAGCGGTTTGGATCAGAAATTGGCTAGCTGTAAGAAGACAGAGGGTGGTGGTTGATGGGAAATGTTCATCCTGGAGTTCAGTTACTAGTGGTGTACCTCAAGGATCTGTTTTGGGGCCACTGCTGTTTGTCATTTTTATAAATGACCTGGATGAGGGCGTAGAAGGATGGGTTAGTAAATTTGCGGATGACACCAAAGTTGGTGGAGTTGTGGATAGTGCGGAAGGATGTTGCAGGTTACAGAGGGACATAGATAAGCTGCAGAGCTGGGCTGAGAGGTGGCAAATGGAGTTTAATGCAGAAAAGTGTGAGGTGATTCACTTTGGAAGGAATAACAGGAATACAGAGTACTGGGCTAATGGTAAGATTCTTGGTAGTGTGGATGAGCAGAAAGATCTCGGTGTCCATGTGCATAGATCACTGAAAGTTGCCACCCAGGTTGATAGCGTTGTTAAGAAGGCGTACAGTATGTTAGGTTTTATTGGTAGAGGGATTGAGTTTCGGAGCCATGAGGTCATGTTGCAGCTGTACAAAACTCTGGTGCGGCCGCACTTGGAGTATTGCGTACAGTTCTGGTCACCGCATTATAGGAAGGATGTGGAAGCATTGGAAAGGGTGCAGAGGAGATTTACCAGGATGTTGCCTGGTATGGAGGGAAGGTCTTATGAGGAAAGGCTGAGGGTCTTGAGGCTGTTTTCGTTAGAGAGAAGAAGGTTAAGAGGTGACTTGATAGAGACATACAAGATGATCAGAGGATTAGATAGGGTGGACAGTGGGAGCCTTTTTCCTCGGATGGTGATGGTTAGCACGAGGGGACATAGCTTTAAATTGAGGGGTGATAGATATAGGACAGATGTCAGAGGTAGGTTCTTTACTCAGAGAGTAGTAAGGGCGTGGAATGCCCCGCCTGCAAAAATAGTAGACTCGCCCACTTTAAGGGCATTTAAATGGTCATTGGATAAACATATGGATGATAATGGAATAGTTTAGGTTAGATGGGCTTCAGATTGGTTTCACAGGTCGGCGCAACATCGAGGGCCGAAGGGCCTGTACTGCGCTGTAATGTTCTATGTTCTATGATTTCTTCTTCATGAAGCCACGCTGACTCACTTGATTATATTATGTATTTCTAAGTGCTTTGCTTTAACATCCTTTATAATAGACTCCAACATTTTGGTCCTGAGGGGCAACCTGATAGAAGTATATAAAATTATGAGAGACATGGATCAGGTGGATAGTGGAAATATCAAATACTTTCAGGCATAAAATAAGGGGGGGAAAGTTTAAAGGAGATGTGCAAAGCAAGTTTTTTATGTAGAGGGTGGTAGGCCCCTGGAACGTGCTGCCAGAGGAGGTGGTAGAAGCAGATACGATACCAACCATGAAGGGGCATTTAGGCAGAAACATGAACAGGAATACAGGGATGCAGGGATGTGCAGGCAGATGGGATTAATTTAGAATGGCATTTCTATGGTGGGCTGAAGGACCTGTTCCTGTGCTGTACTGTCCTATATTCTATTCTAATCTGATTTTCCAGCATTTGACCATAGCCTTGTCTGCTTTGGCATCACAAGTAGACATCAAAATATTACTTCAATGTTATGAAGGTTTCTGCCTCTACCACACTTACAGGCAGCGAGTTCCAGATTCCCACCACTCTCTGAATGAAAAAGTTTCTCCTCTAAACCTTTTGCCCCTTGCCCTAAATCAATGCCTCCAATCATCGATCCTTCCATCGAGAATATAATTTGCAACATTTTCTTGGATCCCATGGGCTCCTAATGGCTTCCAATCTTTTATGCAGGACCTTCAAAAATGCAGAAGGAAGCCATTCAACCCATCGATCCTCTGAAGAGCATCCCACCCAGATCCCCTACTCCATTCTGATAACCCCACATTTCCCATGTCTAATCCATCTAGCCTACACATCCCTGGATACAAAAAATTTAGCATAGCCAATCTACCTAACCTGCACATCTTTGGGCTGCAGGAAGAAATTGGAGCACCCGGAGAAAGCCCACACAGACAAGGGGAGAACATGCACACTTGGCACAGACAGTCACCCAAGGCTGGAATTGAACCTGAGTCCCTGGCGCTGTGAGGCAGCAGTACTAACCATTGAGCCACTGTGCTGCCCTTAACGTCCAAGTAGACCACATCAAAAGCATTTCCCTCATCTACACACCTGGTTACATCTTCAAAAAATTCAATCAAGTTGGTCAGACATGACCTCCCCTTAGATCAGGGTATTGGGTTTTTTTTTTAGGAACCAGCAGTAGATGACTAAAAAGTTATTAGAGAGAGAGAGAAAATTGAATATGAAAATAAATCGGCAAGAAAAATAAAAACAAATGACAACAAATTCTACAGATATACAAAAAGAAAGAATAGCTAAAGTACAGGATCCTTGAAGGGTACAAGTGGGAAATTAATAATAGGGAACAGGGAAATGGCAGATAATTCAAACCAACATTTGCATCAGTCTTCATGGTAGAGGGCACTACAAATGTCTGAAAGATAACAGGTAAGCAATATACTAATGGAAGGAAAGATCTTGTAACAGTTTCTATCATGAGGGACAAAGTATTTGACAAATTTGTGGGACTAAAGACAAGTCACCAGGATCTGATGGCCTGTACCCAACGGTTTTAAAGAAGTGGCTGCAGAGATAGTGGAGGCACTGGTCAAAATATTCCAGAACTCACATAAGGCAAGAGTTGGAATTAATGCACCTTGTTCAGGTTGAAAAGATGTAATTAGTGGAGTGTCACAAAGTCCTTAAAGTTCTTCGTTTTTTTTTAAACTATTTTATCAATGACTTGGATGAGGGGCATCATGTTATATTTCAAAATTTGCTGAATATATAAAAATTGGTGGGGGAGCACATTGGGAAGAAAAAAGGAGTCTGTAAGAAGATGTGAGTGAGTGAGTGGGGATAAATTTATCAGATGGAGTTTACTGTAGGAAAATGAGAGGTCAAGCATTTTGATAGGAAGAATTAAAATGTAGACTATTATTTAAATGGAGGGAGACTTTAAAAAGTGATGCATGCAGGGATCTGTTCTTCTACATGAAGCACTAACTATTAGTATGCACATGCAGCAAGTAATTAAGTGGGCAAATGTAATTTTACCTTTTATTCCTAGGGCTTGGAGTTTAAAAAAGGGAGACCTTGTTTCAACTGTGCAGGGGGAGGCTGCACATGGTATACTATGTACAATTTTGGTTGCTGTATTTAAGAAATAATATACTGGCATTGGAGGCAGTTCAAAAGAGATTCACAAAGCTAATTCCTGGGATGAAGGCTTTACAAGAATGGCTAAACAGCTTAGGCCTTTATCCATTTGAATTTAGAAGAACGAGGGTTGACCTTATTGAAACATACAGGATTCTGAGGGAGCTTGTCAGGGTATTGAGATGTTGTTTCTATTTGTGGGGGAATGTAAAACTAGGGGACACAGTTATAGGATAAGGTGGCACTCAATTTGAAGGATTCTTCCACCCCCCCCCACCAAAGAGTAGTGAATGTCTGGAATTCTCTACCCCAGAGAATTATGCAGACTAGATTACAAAGTATCCAAAGGGGATGAAGATTGACTTCTGAAATATTAGAGAGTTGCGGTCTATGAGAAGCTAGCATGAAAGGAGAGTTGAGGCCTGAGGAAGATCAGCCGTAATATTATAGAATGGTGAGGCAGGCTTGAGGGGTTGAATAGCCTACTCCTGCTCCTATTTCTTTTGCTCTTCTGTTCACCAAACCAAAGATATAGCCATCTTGGGTGGTAGAAGGGCAAGGAACAGTGAGTTGAGAACTAGTGTGTACATAAATACAGGTGGAGATAACAGCAAATTTATTCCAGGATAAAATGAACTGGAAGGTGTTGAGGAAACGATTCTAATGGCTTTGCTAATGACTAAAGTCATTGAAGTGCTGTGTATCTATCTGATGTGCTAAGGTAAAGAAGCTGTTTACATGTGAATAGGAGGTTGAGAAAGGGTGACAGCTCTCATTGGGTGGCACATTGATAGGGCAACCATACCCAGGGGCATAGTTGAGGCACATAATACGGAGGGTGACAGTTAGTGAGGACAAAGAAATAGGAAGAATGTGACAAACACAATTCAGATGAAGATTTAAATCACCAATGATGAGCCAGTAAGAGCAAAGCTAAGAAAAGTTGTTAATGAAGAGAGGAGGGAAATCCCCAATCAATGGATCATTGCAATTCTTGGAAAGCTGTTGATATTCTTGAGAAAAAGCTTCAACAGCAATCCATAATTACATAATCTAAGTAACATTTTTTTTAAGAAGGTAAATGGAGAAAGTGGCAATGGTGATTTAGGATATTACCTTTCCCCATTGATCCTTGACTGAAAGACACTGATTGGTTAATGTCACTCAAAGGACATAACCACAGATGGGAAAAAATGTTTGCTAGGCCCATGGGTGATTCAGATAAATCAATTAGGCAAAATGAAGGAAGCTTTACTCTATCTGAAGCATGTTACATTTGACAATGTTCAGCATCAAGTGTTCACCAACATCTACATTCTGCACCCTCATAAGTAAATTTCTTTCCTCATTTCCCAAAACACCTTAAAATAAAAGCACCAAAATACTATATGTAAAGTACCAATAATGTCCTCAGCCATATACACCTAAGGTAGGCAGTCAAAATGCTGGAGGGCATGCCTGAACAGGTCTGGTAGCTCAAATTTACAAAATTGATGAAACCCTTTTGCCTGTGTACTCTATTATAGTGCATCGCAGAATGCTGATTCAGCAACAGCATTTCATCTCAGGAGGCAGATTATTGAGTAAAACAAGTTAATACCCAATTTACACCCTCTGATTTGCATCTACCATTAAATTTAAACTATCATGAAAAGAGGAGCTATTTGTCTTGTGAACTGTGATGTTATTTTGCATGTTTATAAAATAATCAATGATCATGGATGATAGTTCAGTTATGCTTAATATTCACAATGATCTGCAACTGAAGCTTAGTGATACAGTTGAATAAGACTTAACCTTCACAAACTCCATTGTAAAATTACTTTGATTGAAATGCAGGTCAGTCCTTATGTAGCAGGGCTATCAAGAGCACACTCTGAACCAACCAAGATGCTCCTTTGAACCTATCTCTCTCACCAAGCTTTTGGCCAACTGCCCTAACAGTATGTGGTTAAATGTCTAATTCTGCTTTTTCACAATCCTGTGAAGGGTTAATGCCATTAACATAATAAGACACAATTTAAATCTAAATTGCAGTTGATTACAATTCCTCTAGAAGTGATACAAATGTTGTCCGTCAGTACAGTTAGCTGAATTACTGGAACATTTTTCTTCTGCTTTTCAAAACAGCTTAAAAAGGGCTCAGGTCAAATGCTTATTCAAGTGAAGTTTATATTGAGTGAACATGACTTCTTTGTCACTAATGTTCATAATAAACTCTTCATCACTTAAGTCACCATTAAATCTTCCTCTAGCCCACACTACTGCTGTGAAAATGGTCCTGGCATCTCAAATCTCTCCTCATTATTATGAAGGAAAGACTGATAGAAACAGCAATAACACAACAGTGAAGTGTAAAATAGAAACCGTAATCCCACATGCATGATATTATATTCATTAAAGGCCACACCAAGATTATTAAAGGGCTTGCACAGAATGTGTACTTTCTAACCAAACATCTTTCTGTACGTCACGACTTTTGGTCATTCTTTTCTGTCACTTTACTGTCCATTTAATTTTATTTTGCTAAGTATCACAATGTACTTTCAGGCTGTGGCTACTAGTTGACACTGCAGAACAACTTTCTCAAGAACAACTGGTTATCTTATCTCTGTCACCTGCACATAAAAATGTATAGTATATAAATCTACTTGTTTGTTTAAAATCAAATTCTTTAATGATAAATTTAAAAGATGTGCATAATTCTTTCCCATGAATCTTACTGATTGTGTGTGTGCTTTAAGTTGGCATTGAACACTGAAATTCCACAAGACTGACTGTGATGGAATTAGATAAACATTTAAATTAAAAGAGAGATTTGGATTTATACAATTTGCCTCTCATGATCTAAAGTTGTTCCAACCTATTAAACTAGTGACTGCATTTCAAAAGTACTTACAGTAGAAATGCTGTAATGCAAGTAAATGAACAGAGGTATTATAGTGTCAGTACTAAACCAGAAACGCAAAAGGATGAGAGTTCAAATTAACCACTGTAAATTGGAAAATTAAAATCAATAAATCTGGTAATTTATGGGCTAGGATCAGAAAATAAACGCTACTTCTTTATGATAGTTACAGAATAATGGACACAGTGTCCTGGAATTCTGGAAAACCCTAGTATGCCACTTACTAAAAAAAGATTTTTTCCAGTCTCTGTAATTAAATTGGCTGTGGTCAATAAACGCCCAGAGTGTTGTAAAACAGACTCATAACGAGCATGTGTGTAAATAAAGGTTTTGGGGCCTGGTTAACAGTGAAGGTAAGCTATGAAAGAATATTTCCTCATTTGCAGTGTAACTTCAGCACTTAATCGGGATTAGACTTACTTGTTTTACAGTTAGCCGGTTGTTGTAAAACAGGCTAACCTATTATAAGTTTCTATCATGTTTTGAAGATTACACTCACTCTGCCAGGGTAGCTCTGCAGGAATTTGATTTTTTCATACAGTTTGATATTGTCAGCACGCAGGTTGTCCAACTCGTTTTGAAGTGCATGCAAAGTTTGCTGCATCATTCGGTTATCCTGGAACATAAAAGGTAACGTTCGGTGAGAATATCCTAGCAAACTGCAATTCAAGCTCAGCGCAGCACTGGAAGCCTTTGCGACTATACACGTATTATGAGACCCAGACAGGGGAAACATAAAGGAATTGTTGTGTACATCAGTGGGCAACATACAGCTCTAACCAAAACTTGAAGTAGATTTCTTTAACATCTTCATTCAGAAAATAACTGTCCAGAGTCTAAACTTCTGTTTTTAGTATTGTTTCCTCATCATCAAGGCACCAGAGGTTTGAGATTGACTCAGGTCCAAAAATAAGGCCCCAGCTGGATGCACAATAAATTGCATTTTAGAGTTATCTTACAAATTTCTGGAAATACTTGCACTGAAAAAATACAATGCTTGCTGGAAAGAAAAGGCTTACATTCATAGAACACCTGTCAGGACTTTAGAATGAACTAAATTGTTTTACAGCCAATGGAGTACTTTTGAAGTTGTAATGTTGGGAAACAGCATTGAGATTAATTACTAGATCATGCGTTTTTGATAATTTTCCTTCAGGAATAAACATTGGCAAGGACAAGGGGAGACACTCTTTGCTCTCCAAATAATTCGAAGAGATTTCTTTATATTTCCACTTTCAAGGACAAAGGAATCCAAGTTTAACGTTCTACCTGAAAGAGGGCACTCTGACAGCACAGCAACGCCCAGTATGCCTGTAAAATCGTCAGCTTGGATCACTGGAATGGGATTTTTTTTTAAATTCATTCATGGGATGAGGGCGTTGCTAGCTAGGCCAGCATTTATTGATTAGCCCTAATTGCCCAGAGGGCAGTTAAGAGTCAACCACATTGCTGTGGGCGTGGAGTCACATGTAGGCCAGACCAGGTAAGGATGGCAGTTTCGTTCTCTAAAGGATATTATTGAACCAGATAGGTTTTTCCGACAATTGACAATGGATTCATGATCATCATTAGATTCTTAATTCCAGATATTTTATTGAATTCAAATTCCATCGTCTGCTATGGCGGGATTCAAACCTGGATCCCTAGAACATTACCCGGGTCTCTAGATTAACAGTCCAGCGATAATACCACTAGGCCAAAAGACTTTTTTGGCTCAGAGGTGAGATGCTTTAAGGAGCTGGAATGTTGCTTTTACTGTGCCCCTCTTTTTTGTTAAATGATTCTCTCTTCTGCTGATTACTTGTCTTTGTGATACAATCCACCGTATGTGGTGCCAAATAGACATTCTGAGGTTTGGTAAAAGTTTCCGAAAGTATTAGGAAGGATGCATACTGGGCAGATTGATTATTGCATTTGAAATCTGAGTACCAAGTAAAATACTTAAAAGTTAGAAAAAAGACACAGTCAGGTGGGACTGATGGTGTGTTCATCATGTGTTTGTTACTGTAGGATTCCCAAGATCACCAAGAATCTTTGCAACTTCATTGGACAAACTAAACCTCAATGTACGTTGCACAATTTCACAGTCTGTAGACAGTAGTAAAACTGGAAGTTTTGTCAATTGTGAGAAGAATGCAGAACTTCAAGAGGACACAGATAAGTTTGTGGAACGGATGAACAGGCGGCAGATGAAGCTCAATGCAAAGAAATGTAAAGTGATTCATTTTGGTAGCAAAACATGGAGAGACAATACAAAGGGGGCAAGTTTAGATGTTCTCTAGACCAGGAGGCCTGGTTTCAACTTCCATCTGCTCCAGGGGTCAGGCATAATATCTCCAAACAGGTTGATTAAAATATTTATAATTCTAGAGGTACTGAAGGAGGAGGACCTGGGATTTGTGACGGACTGGCACTATAATTATCACGTAGCTGCGCCGTTGACTAGATTCTTGAATCAGATTAGTCTACCTCAGATGAATAAATTGGCCTCAAACTTTCACTACCAGTCGTCATCTTGATGCCAGACTGACTGTGCTAATCTACTCCCAATGTGAAGAGTCACTGTTAGTCAACAGACAAGTATAGTTTCTGTCACCGCTAGTTTGTGACGAGTAACTGCAAGAGATTTATGCATTAACAAAAATTTCTACAATTAAACATTGGGAAGACTCTAGCCAACCTACTGACTCCATCCCTCTCTATGGCAACAGTCTGAGATTAAGCCAATTTTTTCACAGCCTCAGTGTTGCATGTGATCCTGAGATGAGTTTCTAATCTCACATTTGTGCGATCTCTAAGAGTCAATGCTGCAGAGAATTCTGAAGGGGGAGAACAAACAGACAGAGATTGTGATACATACTGGTACCGAGAACATAGGTAGAATAAAAGTAGAGGTCCTAAAAGCAGAATTCATGGAACTAGGAAGCGGATGAAAGAACAGGACCCAAAAGTTAGTAATATCTTGATTACTTCTAGTGTTGTGTGCAAGTGAGTGTAGGAATAAGAGGTTAGTTCAGGTGAATGTGTGGCTGCAGACATGGTGCAGGAGGGAATACTTTAGACTTCTGGAACATTTGGACCATTTTTAGGGACAGTGGAACATATTCAAGGCAGACAGACTGCACTTGAATCAGAATGGAACCAGCATCCTTGCAGAAGGTTTTGCTAGTGCTACTAGGAAGGGTTTAAATTAACTTGGCAGGGGTTGGGATCCAGCGAGAACATTCTGCAGGGGAAAACGAATGGCTTGAATTAGAACAGATAGCAAGTGAATCAGGAAAGCAGAGACATTAATCGGCCAGTTAGGGCACAAGGGAGTTTGGCAAGGTTGGATGGTACTTGCTTAACACTTGGAGTCTGAAAAACAAGGCAGATGAGTTGAGGGCACAAATTAAAACATGGAAGCATGATGTCATTGCTGTCATGGTTGAGAAAGGGGCAGAATGGCAGCTCAATATTCCAGGATATAGGGTCTTCAGGTGAGATGTGGAAGGAGGTAAATGAGGAGGAGATGTCACAATTTTGATCAGGGAATCTATTAAAGCAGGAGGGATGATATCATAGATGCCTGCTCCAATGAAGACATATGGGTAGACTGTAAAAACAAAAAGGAACAATCACATTGCTGTGAGCGTGGAGAGACTCCCAAGAATCCAAGAGAAATAAGAGAGATGTTCAGGCAAATTTCAGGGAGCTGTAACACAGAAATATAGAAGATAGGAGCAGGAGGAGACCATTTCGACCCTTCAAGTCTGCTCTGCCATTCTTCATGATCATGGTTGATCATCCAACTCAATAGCGTAATCCTGCTTTCTCCCCACAACCTTTGATCCATTCACTCCAAGTGCTATATCTGGTCGCCTCCTGAATACATTCAATGTTTTGGCATTAGCTACTTCCTATGGTAATGAATTCCACAGGCTCACCACTCTTTGGGTGAAGAAATGTCTCCTCATCTCTGTCCTAATGGTCTACACCGAATCCTCATACTTTGACCTCTAGTTCTGACACACCCACCATCAGGAACATCACCCTGCATCAACCCTGTCCAGTCCTGTTAGAATTTTATAAGTCTTTATGAGATTCCCCCCTCACTCGTCTGAACTCGAGTGAAAACAATCCCAACCTAATCAGTCTCTCTTCATTCATCAGACCCGCCATCTCCAGAATCAGTCTGGTAAACCTGTGCCTCGAGAGCCAGAGGATCCTTCCACAGAAAAGGAGACCAAATTGCACACAGTATTCCAGATGTGGCCTCACAAAGGCCCTGTATAACTGCAACAACTCACTCCTGCTCCTGTACTTGAAACCTCTCGTAATGAAGGCCAATATACCATTTGCCTTCTTTACCATCTGCTGCACCTGCATGCTTACCTCAGCGACTGCTGCACAAGGACACCCAGGTCCCATTGCACACTCCCCTCTCCCACTAAAAGTGATACTGGGAGTTTCAACTTCCCCAACAGTAACTGGGTTAGTCATAGTATGAAAGATTTACAGACAGTGGAATTTTTTAAATGCATCCGCGACAGCTTTTTAAGCCACTATGCAAAAGGCCCTACAAGAGAGGGAGTGTTTCTGGGCTTAATTTTAGGTAACGAAGCTGGACAAGTAGTTAAGTATCAGTGGGAGAGCACTTTGCAGACATTGATCATAACTCAGTTAGATTCAAGATAGTTATGATAAGAGATAAGGCTAGGCCTGTAATCAAAGTTCTCAAGTTAGGGGGAAAGCTGACTTTAATATAATTTGATATAAATTGGCCGGAGTGGACTGGGAGCAGATACTTTCAGGTAAATCTGTGTCAGAAAAGTGGGATGCATATAGAAGGAAATATTGAGAATAAAGGAGGCTTCAAACAGCCTGCTCCAATTCCCATCTCTTATATTCCTATACTCTGCTCTGCAGAAATTGAATCCAATCAACACTTCAGTATCATACTTGCAGCTTTCTGGTTCAGCAGCTCCCAGGCAAATTAAAACGGTGGAAGTCAGTAATTCAGACCGAAATTGCTTGGAAGTCTAGAGTTTCAACAGGCCAATTTTATTCGCATGGTACCAATCTTGTGCTCATTTTCAGCATTTAGCCACGGATTATTTTTACTAGATCAGATAAGGTTGAGATGAGGCTAAGTTAAAATTTTTAAAATTATGAATGGCTATATGTTAAGATTGTCACCAAGCGTGTGGGAGAAAGACTTTAGGAAAAAAAAAGCATTGTTTTACAAATGAAATTGCGCAAGTCAGGAATGTTTTCCACAGGAAGAAACTGGGACAAAAATTATTGCAACTTTTATGGCAAAATTACTGTGGGTTTGGTGTTTGGCTGTTGTATCAAAGAACTGGCATAAACATGATGAATCAAATGGCTTCTTTCAAGCCTGTCAATTCTACGGTCCAGCTGCTTTTTGAGACAATATTTCTCACAGGTGAAAGACATGAATTACTTTTCAGAAGTTCTACATAGTATGAAGTGTTTTAGCATACGTACAGATTCCAACTCCTGGTTTCTGGCTCGAAATCTTTCTCTCTGGCTTGAGATGATGGAAAGCAGAGAGTCCATCTGTCCCTGGGGAAGTTCAGAGGTTGGAAAAGGGCCAGAACCTTCAACACAGAAACATATTTAGTCTGCATATTTGGAAACATTTGTTAAAAGGTATGCCTTTGCTGTATATTAAAGCACCAATTTCTTCAGCACTCCAACCACAGTCAATGTATTCTGAAAGACTTTCTGCTTACAATCCATCCCAGCCCACAAACTCATTGGTCATCGACATTTATCCTAGTGGGTAACTGGAAAGCTAAGTGTGTCTTCATTACTGAATGGATGACTCCAAACTGTCAGTCAACATGTTGTCTCTTTCTTGCTTCAGATATTATTATATCAAACAAAAATGTTCACAGAAAACACACATATGATTATCTTTAATACCTCTATGATGTTTTTCTCCTGGGCTGTTTACAATTACGACAGCAAGAGAGCCTTGAGGGCTGCTAAACTTACCACAGCTACACAAAATAGAAGAAACCTAATTCAAGGAGTTCAAACTACCAAGAAATGCAGATTCAAAGGTGGGAGGTAGGGACAGACAGAAGGAGAAGGGAGGCACACTTATACATGATCACCATTCAAAGTGTAGCTCCACTGATGGCTTCTCTCACCCTCCACATTCATCTCGTTATCTCTAGTCTAACCAGGGCTTTCTTCCATTTGCAAGAAACTACCTCACTAAACTCTCCCTTACATCTCTTCCTCTCTCCTTGAAAAGTCTTTGATTGACCTATATCCATTCAATGTCATATTCTTTCAACTCTTCTCCACAAGTGCTTGTCAGGTATTTTTTTCTGTGAAGAGCAATGTAATTAAAAATGTTGCATAAATGCATTATTAATAACACAAGTAATAAAATATGAAAGAAATACAGTTGAACATTTTTTAAGAAGCAAGTGTATCAGATTCAATATTTATATCACTTGATCACAGATCTTTCATTTGTCTTACATTCATCTTGGTTCAACATTCAGAACCTATCACTGGCTTTCTGAAAACATTAGTTTCAGACACTAGATATTTTGGATTTTTTTCATTCTTACCAAAGAGGGCTGTAGCTTCTTTGATGGGTTCTGGAATCTTTTCTATGTTGCTCAGATCTGCTCCCTGATGTCAGTGAAAAATCAGAATTTTCAGTCAGTTCAACGAAAGGACACTGGCTAGACCACAGTTATTAACCCCTGGTCACTATAAAAGGTTAACAGCTTGGATTTAGGGAAATATTCAATGGAGCAATACCAACACTAAATTCATGACAGAATGCTTATAAACAGGCTTTCCCGCGTTGGAACATTCAAGCTAGGGGGTAAAGGCTAGACTTGCAATTTATTTTAGGACAAAAAAATGATAGTGAAGTGGACAGTTAGAGAGATTTAGGGAAAGAATTCCAAAGTTTAAAGCCCTGGCAGCTGTAAGCGTGACTATCAATGTTGGAGTCATTGAAACTTCATGTGAAGGCTGTACCTAATTATTTTTCTTGTGTATTCGATTGTGGACTGAAGTGGGAAAAGGACTGATTTAAAAACAAAGATTGTTGAAGGACTGTTGTACTTTTTAGAAGCAAGTTACTGACATCGAGAAGGCGATGGCCTAACGGTATCTTTGCAAGACTATTCATCCTGAGACCCAGGTAATGTTCTGGGGACCCAGGACTGAATCCTGAATCTTGCCATGGTAAATGGTAGAATTTGAATTCAAAGTCATCTGCTAATTAAGAGTCTAATGATGACCACGAAAGTTGTCAAATTGTTGGACAAACCCACCTGGTTCACGAATGTCTAATCTGCCATCCTTTCCTAGTCTGACCTACATGTGATTCCAGGCCTATAGCACTGCCCCCTGGGCAACTAGGGGTGGACCATAAATACCCTTGCCAGCAACGCCCACATTTAGAATGAACTAAGAACAAAAATAAACTTGTAAGTGTTATTTACATAGCTGTTGGTTCAAATAGTGGGGAAAGCCTAGTTACAAATGAGCTGGAGCCAGATGGAGATATAATATATATACATATAAAAAAGGAGACTCAGCCACCAACAAATAGCTGACTGGTCTTGAACTAATGACCAGTTATATCTTTGAAATAGGCTTACTGCTTGTCAAAAACTGCGATTGGCTCACAGGCAGCTCAGCATCTTGTGGGTATGAATGTTCGGTCAAGAAGCTGTTTTTGTTCTGCAGTAAAACACATCTCAAGCCTGAAGATAACAAATTTATTTCCTCTCAACAGTTGCTGTGAGCTGTGACTTTTATTTAATAATTCAAAGATTTTTAGTAAGTGTGAACCAGCCACCCTGTGTCTCCTGCAAGCTATCAAGAAGCAACATTCTAATCAGCAGGATCATCTTGCAAACCCTGTGAATCAGGGATCAGCAAGCTGTATTATCAGCTCTTCCCTCCACCTGTAACACTCATATTTTGTTTTGTGATTATCTACATGCGTGTGTGTGTGAGAGAGAGTATGTGTGTGTATACAGAGGGGACGTTTTGTAAGTGGATTAGAGCGTTAACTAGTAGAATTATTGTTTGATTGCTCATAATGTTTTTATTCATTCATGTGGTGTAGGCACTGCTGGCTGGACCAGCATTTATTATCTATCCCTAATTGCCCTGAAGGCAGTCAAGAGTGAACACACTGCTGAGAGTCTGGAGCCAGACCAGATAAAGATGGCAGTTTCCTCCTAAAGGACAGTAGTGAACCAAATGGATTTTTCAGACAATCCACAATGGTTTCATGGCCATCATTAAACTCTTAATCCCAGCATTTTGAATTTCACCATCTGTCATGGCAGAATTCAAACCTGTGATCCCAGAACATTATCTGGGTCTCTGGATTGATAGCAATTATGTACTCATTTCTAAATATATTGATTTGATTTCCACTGCATTACCCCAGTGAAGTAGAATTAGAGGAGTTCAGGTATCTCAGGGTGTGGGCTTGGATGAGATTACAGCAATAAGGAGGGTCAAGTCGGTTAAAGGATTTCAAAATGACAATTTTAAAATTAAGAGTTTGCTTATCTGGGAGCCACTGTAGGTCGGTGATGATGTGTGAGTTTAATTAGGATAAATGTTGGCAGTTGGCCAGGAGCACGCCAGAATAGTCAAAACTCAGGGCAACAATGCCATGGGTGAGGGCTTCAGCAGCAAATGAGTTGAGGGAGGGGCTCAACAGACAATGTTTTGGAGGTTAAAATGTAGTGTCAGCAATGCTGAGCAACGAATAGATGTGTGGTCAGAGCTAATCTCAGAGTCACACAGGATACTGAGATTGTGAATAGCCTCAGACAGTAACCATGGCGTGGGGAGGAGGTGGCAGTATGGAGTGGAGATTTTGCCAGGCAGTGAAGACAATGGCTTTGGTATTTCCGATACTTGAATTCATCTAATACTGGATGTTGGACATGCAGAATGATAATTTAGCAGTACTGGCGGTGGTGAGGAAAACCTTGTTGTCATTAGTAAGTAAGTGGTATTCCATCACACTCCTCATTAGTGGCCTTGTGGAGTTTAAGGAGTCAGGAGGTGAATTACAAGCTGTAGAATATCTAGCCTCTGACTTGCTCTTTTGATCACAGTATTCATATGGTTCATTCATTTATGTTTATGGATGATGATGGTCTCCAGAATGTTGCAAAGTTCATTGATGGTAATGTTGTTGAATGTCAAGGGAAGATAGTTATGTTGGAGATGATCACTGTCTGGCATTTGTGGGCTATGGTGTCATCAATACCCAACCCATACCCATGGCAAAGTTTGTACCTCAGTATCAGGGCGTGGCAGGGAGGACATTGATTGGATAGTGCTGAGGTCTTGTTCCAGCTTTATGATCAGCTCCTTCTGTCCTGTTGTGGTTTTTACAGCCTCAGTGAACTGCATCTGTAACTCAGCATAGCGAGCTGCAGCAATACAAATCATTAACATGAATCATAATGGAAATCTGAAACAAACATTAAAAGACTCTCAACATCTAATAGTTACTGAGTCAGCATTTAAAGAGAGGAGTAAGGTTATTTCATGTGGTGAGTCGATTAGCATATGGAAAGACTCAGGGTGGAAAGAAAACATTAAGAGGGCAACATAAGCACAAGAAATTACAACTGATAAGGAAATAAAGAACAGGATGAAGAAGCAATCACATAAGAATAAATGGTCACTGGCAACAGGAACACAAGTTGGCATGTTGGTATGGTGGGCTAAGTTAAAGGAGTTATTTAGTTCAAGATGGATGATGAAAAGAGTAGAAAGTGCAAAGGCAGAATGAGGGATGAACCAACTATATCATTAACTGGACACTTAAAAAGGACATATGTGAATCATAAAGATGTGCTTGGAGTACTACTGGAAACGAGGAACCGTGCCAGAAGCCAGGACAATGTGAAATGCAGTGACTTAATTAAAAGAAAGAAGAAACTGCAGGAGACTCTGAGGTAACAAGGTGTAGAGCTGGATGAACACAGCATCAGAGGAGCAGGAAAGCTGACATTTCGGGCCTAGAACTGAGACTCTGCAGGTTAACTGCAGGCCAGTTAGTCTCACAGTAGTTTTAGGAATATTACATTTCTACATTTCTTCAGTTCTGTAACAATGTCACTGAACTGAAACATTAATTGTGTTTCTCACCACAGATGCTGCCTGATCTGATGAGCTTTTCCAATAGTGTTGTTTTTATTTCAGACTTTTATTTCAGCCATGTACAGTATTTTGTTTTAGTATAAAGAACAATTTTTGAATCAAACACATTGATGACTTGGAGAGATTTAAATAAATTGGAAAGAACAATCAGATGGGTGGTCATGCCAGAAAATGGAGTATTTTGATAAAGTGATAAAAGGTGCAAATATGACAAGATGACATGATCAACTTGAATTTGAGCAGGATTGTTGAGAAGATACCAAACCTAACACTTAATTACCAGTCATGCTACTGGCTTCAATGTACTGAGATGGTCTGACAGGGTCTATGTGAATGGGAAGTATTCTATATGGGGAGGTAATGAAGAGGACGATCTTGCAAGGCATGGTGTTCACACTAATATTCATCAACACTATCATTTCAACTTTGCAGAGAGCAAAATAGGAGAAATATTTAAACAAGCTAACTGTTGGGAATTTGGGCATGATGTTGGAAAATACAGTTTAATGTTTAATGCTTCAGAGATTACAAAATTAATAGAAATTACAGACATATCAGGAACAGGATATTGTATCTAACAGCAGTGAAAAAAATTAATGGAATATTGGGTTACAGTGGATGAGGTTGGAGGGCAGACGGGAAGTATTGGGTAGCCTACACAGAAAGTGGTGGAAGCTGATTTTGTAATTACTTTAGGATGAGTAATTTCTATGGTTATGGCAAAAAAAAAGTGGATGTTCCCACTAAACATGACTGCTCTGTCAATGAAGTACAAAAGTTTGTATTGCCTTCTTTTATGGTATAACCTTCTATCTCTCCATGATAAGAATGTTCATCAGATCAATTTTATGCATGGCTTTGAAATTCACAGGGAGGATGGATTCAAGTTGGAACAAGAATGAATCGGTATTACAGAAAAGGTCTGTAGAATGAAACATATTCAAAGATTTGGCACAACTTATTATAAAGAAAATTGAAGGGACAATTATAACATTCAAGGAGGCAAATCAGTCAAGGCTTTTCTATACTGGCAAAAGATGGCAGATTGGGAGAATGTGTTTAAGATGAGAAGACAAATACTTAAGTAGGAATCAACAATACATTTCTTTGCTAGGAAATTGAATAGCTACTGGAACAATTTGTAGACTAAATTAGTTTAAATCTTTTTCAGATATATGCTTTTGGGGAAAAGCACATTACTAGGATAGCAGAAAGGTAGCACAGACGGACCTACAGTTCCTTCTACCCTGAGATTTCTACACTGATTTTCCATTCCTTTGAGGTGCTGACTGACTTCCTGTACATTTCTGCTTTTTTCCCCCCCATAACAGGAATCACTAAGTTTCATGTTTAAGTTAATGAACTGGAAACTATATCCCTTTTATTTCAATCAGGAGGTTAACTAAGTTGCAAAGTGCGACCACCTCTGATAATAGAACCGGTGTAGCATTTATATGCCAATTCATTGTAGCCAACAGCGTGTGAACAAATGTCCAGGTACTATCCTGTGATATTCACAACTCAGATAACAAGGTGTAGAGCTGGATGAACACAGCAGGCCAAGCAGCATCAGAGGAGCAGGAAGGCTTTTTTTTTTGACATTTCGTGCCTAGACCCTTCTTCAGAAATGGGGAAGGGGCAGGGGGTTCTGAAATAAATAGGGAGAGAGGGGGAGGCGGATAGAAGATGGATAGAAGAGAAGATAGGTGGAGAGAAGACAGACAGGTCAAAGAGGCGGGGATGGAGCGAGTAAAGGTGAGTGTAGGTGGGGAGGTAGGGAGGAACCCTAACCCTAACCTTCTGATGCTGCTTGGCCTGCTGTGTTCATCCAGCTCTACACCTTGTTATCTCAGATTCTCCAGCATCTGCAGTTCCTACTATCTCTGAAACAATACTCACAACTCAGTTCCTCTAGCTGAAGTTCCCTTAAAAACCATCAGCTAAGTATTTGAAAAGATAAAAAAAAATTCAGTCTATTTTAGATTCTTTCTTCAGCCATGCTGTCTGGAATCATTAATAATGTATTAATATCTGGCCAGATCAACCAAATATGTACACTCCTCTGTTTTACTGTAGATATTTAATCATTCATAACAAAATTTCTGGACCTAGATTTCTGCAATGTGACATTTTTCCTAAGGCAACTGTTTAACAGATTAAATAACACAATTCTAAATCAAATATATTTTTGGAATACAATACATTTGCAAACAATTCCAAGTGATTAGTAGTTACTTTGCTGAATTCTGTCTTTCATTAACATAAGAAATAGGAACAGAAGTAGGCCCCGCTCAAACTTTCCAATCTGCTTTGCCATTCTACAAAATCATGACCGAACTAATTGAAGCCTCAATTCCACTTTCCTGCCCGTCCTTCAATAACCCTCAATTCGCATCAATTAAAGGTCTGTCTAACTCAATCTAGGATACATTATATAGCCTAGCCTCAAGTGATAAATAAACATGGTGACTTTCAGAGAAGAGACTCCCCCTGTCGTAAATGGCTGACTTTTATTTCTAAACTCTGCACCCAGTTCTAGATTTCTCTCAAGAGAAGGAACATTCTCCAACATATCCACCCAGTTAAGGCCTCTCATAATCCTGTACGTTACAATAATATCCACTCTATTTCTTCTAAGGTCTAAACAGTTTACCCCCAACCTTTCCTCACAACTTGCTTTCTTTGCTGTCTTTGTACCAGCAGCAAGTTTGACTGCAATACATTTGTTCTCTTTATTCAAATGATTAAAACAGAGTATAAATAAGACAAGGAGCGGTATAATGGCATTATCACTGGATCTGTAATCCAGGCTGGTGTTCTGGGATAAAGGTTAAAATCCCACCTTGGCATGTGGTGAAACTTGAATATAGTTAAAACTAAATAGAAATTTTAAAAAAAGCCTTGTGGTGTCCACGTTACAACTGTTGTAAAAATCCAATCGGGTCACTGATATCCTAGAGAAGGAAAACTGCCATCCTCATCTTGTCTGGCCTACATGTGACTCCAGACCTACAACTATCTTAGCTGCTCTCTGACATGACAGAATAGTCACTCAATTCTATGGTAGTTAGGGATGGGCAATGAAATGTAGCTCAGCCAGCAACAGCCACATCCTATGAACAAATAACAAAGCTTTGGCACTGATCCCTGTAGCTGGATACTGTTTACCTTCCTGAAAATGGCCCATTTGTCTTAATTCTCTTGTTTCCTTTTAGTTAGCCCATCTATACTCTATGTATTAGCCCCAACACAATACTCTCTTATCTTGTATGGCAACCTTTTGTCTGACACTTTATTATTGGCTTGATTACAAAGCCAACTGACTTTCTGATGTCTCATGTTTCTTTGCTGATTCAATGTAAAGAATAAGATAAATATCATTAAAGGTCCCTCAAATTTAATACATCTGAAACATTGAAACATGCCAAACATGTGTCACTGAAAAAATACATTTGGAAAAAATAGGGACCCACTAAGTTTAGATTGTGGGTTTTGAGAAGAAAAATCAATCTTACCTCTTTCAACAAAAAGGGGCAGTGACTTCCATGATTAAAATAACAGCTAATGTTGTGTTTGAATCAACAATAAATTTCCATACATATAAACATGCTACAAAACACAACAATTCAGAGACTTCTTAAACATGGTATGCACAGACTGGGTAATAGAACACTCACAGCAGACCTTGTTGGAATATATTTCCAATACTTATTTTGCTCATGGCCAATTTTGTGCACATTCATCCCTTTTTAACAATGAATATAATAATTAATCATTAATACCATCACTGGTCATTTCTGCAGCTGATTGCCTAAAACCGTTATTGTGAAATTCAAGAGAGATTACATTTTCCAAATAGGATTAATGAACTTCTGTCTGTTTTGAGTAAATGAAGCCCTACATCATGAATGGCAACTCAAAAACTTTTAACTACTTTAATAAACATATGAGGGTGCAGGTCTTCATGCCACTCTTCTAAATAACGACTTGAACTAGCTGAAGAAAATAAGCGTAAATGCAGACTCGATACGGAAAGTAAAGCAGCGTGCAGGTTATGTCACTGGGCAGCAGGGGGTGCACTGCAAGAAGCATCAACCATCTTTATGGGGTACACCATTTCTTGTTTTCAATTCACTGCAGAACAAAACAGAATGAGGCATCAAATACAAGGAAGCTTATATTTTCCCACAATTGCACTAAACCCAATTTCTCATTAAGTTATTTTACAGACTCATCTCAACAATTTTTTGTTCTCAAATAAAAG